GGGGGGGGGGGGTGCGATAACCCATACATGCACAATGTTGACAGGGACAAAACCTTACCGATCAAAGAGGGCGCTAAGCTGTAGGCGATCGAAGCGGATAATACAGTAGCGCGGAATGAAGGGCAACAGGCGCACACGGTAGGCAATGTTAACGCGACGCGGGAACTTGGAAGAGGTTCGTCCCCTGACGTTCTGTGATGAGTTGAACACGCCCTGTCCTGAGCGTTCATAGGGTGGTTCTGAATTTCACATGGACCAGAAAATAGATGGCATATAAGGCCAACAATTATAATCACTAAATATGACTAAGAAACGCCAATATTATGTGGCAGCCGAGAAACGGCAAGTCAAGCCTGCAGACACAAGGCAATAACGAATTGGAAAGACAAGTTGTGTAGTTCGACAGTGGAACTGAAAAATTTGCAAAGGGTAATTCCCAATTAATCATTCGAGTGACATGCTCAGAAGAAAACCATCTCGGGAAATAGGTTCGCATGTATGCCAGACCTATCCGGATATTTTTAAAATTATTCATTATACGAATTTCTAATTAGTGTGGTGTTTCTCAGGAACATTTACGCGTGCACGCCAGTGACGACAAAAAGGGGAATGCAAACATTCCCCCAACTAGTACAGTAATGCTCACAAATAAGACTGTTTAGACGAAATATGCGCTTCCTAAAGTGGGATTTTGAAGGAATCATTAAGAAGCCGAATCATTCGGGAAATGTAAGTGGAATTCAATGACGCAAACACGGAGGAGGGAGTTATTATTACAGTGAGTATTTTTTGGAACAACTAGTCCGAAGGCCTAAAAACCATTGATTTCCAGGCTAGGGTTTGGATTCTGTCATCCATCATTAGTACTAGTCTTGAGTAGTCGAATAATAAAGTACTTATGGGTACGCGAGAAAAAAATGCCCAAGATCAACAGTGGTTAGATGAAAGTGTCATGCAATAAATGTAAAGGCGGCGAACTGTTATGAAATGTTAAGATAGCATGCGAGTAGATGGATGGACCCACAACCGGTTGACAAAACGGTTTAGTGATTTTGATGGCCGACCATTGAAATGAGACTCGAATTCTGTTAAAAAGTGGTCCTATAGAAGGGTGCAAGTCACACTATTCAGGGAGCTGAAACAAGAGCTACACATAATGGCACGGGTCTGAAGGAAACAGTAAAGCGAGTCAGTGCCTCTTCTGAGCCCTGGCTTTTACAGAGTTGTTTACTTGTCGCTGAAATGGTTAAAAAGAACGGTACGAAATTCTGTCTCTTATAAACCTGGTGCGACCATATCTGGAGGATCACTGACGTCACCGCCATCGTCACCAACTCCCATATCACGTGTCCGGCTATTTTGAACAATCATGGACTCGGTGTCGTTCTCGTAGATGCCAACGTGAGTCGGGTCTTCAGCAGCCTGGGATTGGGGCTGGGGTTCTCGAGTGGGGTCGTCGAGCTTTACCACGGACGGTGTCGAGGAGGAAGGTCTGAGTCTGTCGGAAGAAAAAGTCAGGACTAAGAAGCAAATCCGAGTGTGGGAGAACACTGGCGTAGCGGTGCTTCCATTTTGAAAAAAAATCATCCGTCACCGGCGGAAGTATAGGAAGTGCACAAATTAAAAGAAGCAGACAGAGGTGATGGAGGTAACCAGAACAACGACGACAAAATAAACCGGGAAATGTACGTCGAAGTAGTAAGTAGTCCTGTCACAACATTTCACGGTAGTGCTGCCTAACAGGCTGATAAAGGGATCGTCGTATACAACGTAACAGCTATCGATTATCCGAGTGGACCAAGAACGACGCGGCCATCTTCGAAACGAAGTGAATACAGGAGGACAGGAAACAGTCCAAAGCACACCAGTGTAGTACCGATGAACATAGTTCATACAGACAAGCCTTTTCCACGTACCATAGCATCTAACGCGCATCCAGGTTTTGCAAAACCACTAAGAGCAACTATGGCGTTAACATGACGTCGAAGCGCACTGAACACGTTGACCAACCGCTCAACATCTGCCCAAACTGTGGACGAACGTTCCGGGCAAGGATATCTCGGATTGAACATCTCCATGTCCGCCTCCACACGACAAACCGTGACTCTAGGAATAGTCCTATCGTTGATGCTCAAGCCAAACGCACGCGACCTCAGGCCGTAGAACTCGATCCAACAACGAAAGAACCACGTCGGCTAGCCTATTCCCGTAGCATCTACAGTCCTAGTGTTAAACATGCTTACAGCTAACGAAAATCCGGTAAAATATCTCTGCATCCCCCTTGGCAATGATCCATTGAAGACCAAAATTATTACTCAAAACAGGAGTTTAATCCGAGCATTGTCGTCGCCGATTATGCCAAGCTACTTATCAACCAATCCGAGCCATCCAGCTAATGCCCCATCTTCAAATGCGATTCCTAAAAGAATAATAAAGGGCAAGGGTGACTTATATATAGCCCTCTAAATAGGACATGAGAATAGGAACCGCCTGTAATACGGGTGGATTCAAACTAACTTCCAGTGAAATTAGGGTTAGGGTTAAGTTAAGGATAAGTCTTAAGGCTAGATTTAAAGCCGACGATAAAGTAAGTCAGGATCAAGTTTAGGGTTGAGGTAAGGGGTAGTTTTAATTGCAGAGTTAAGGTTTGGGATAGGGTTAAGATTACGGCAATGGTTTATTTTTTATATCAGGGTCATTGTTGGGGTTAGGGCAGGGGAATACTGCCTTTTCCGGAATTATGAGCAGGTCCACCTTTATTTCTTGGGCTGGGCGTTTCTATTCTCATGTACTGTTTAGGTGATCATATAAGTCAGTCTTACCCAATAAACAACGCCACTGATATCAATCACAAAAAGGAGTTGTCATCCCCTTTGTGGCTTGAAATGATGGGTTCTGTTCTTAAACGTAGGCAAACACCCAAAAGTAGGGATTAATTACTTGCACCGGCCCTGCATATGCCTATTGATTGCTCTTTTTACAGTCCAAGACTGAGAACGTTGTAGGGAAATGCGACGTGAACCACCCGTCATGGGTGTCAAAACACAGGCAAGGAGACAAATAGTAGCACGAGTCACCAGTTTAAACGCCTACGAGAAGAATATTTGTGTCAACAGTAAGAAAGGCCGATGAGACCAGGTAACGGCTACCGGGTCGACATGCTGGAGATGTCGTCGACGCGCCGGTAAAGTGAATGAGCCCAGTCGTCGCTCAGGTGTGAAAGCAAGCACAGAGCCCCCGGGGCGCGCGCATACCGAAACCATTTTAGCCGACAGCCGGTGTGGCAGGACAAGAGGATAAACACAAACGTGGAGGGACTATGCAAAGTGGGGGTTCGAAGCAGCAAGCATGCGTGCACAACTGAGGGACGAGTAGGTGAAACTTCTGGGGAATGAAGTAGACGCTCAGAGCGGAAAGGAAGTCAGCATATGCATGCAGTAGGCAGGGCGTAGGCACGCGTACACTGGTGCTGCCTCAAGATCCGGCGTGGAGATCTGTGTGGCAAAGCTGAGTGCCGAGGTATAGAGGTCGCCTGCAGAGCGCAGTCGAAAGACGGAAACGCTGGATACGTTCTGTTCCCGGGTAAGGGGATCGTCTAAGACTGCGGGGGGACAAGGCAGACGGACTGGAGTGGCCGGTGGCTGACTACCACTTGGCACCGAAACTCGTATACTTGACAGATTCCATGATGGAGAACGGAGAGCCTGCTCTGCTAACAATTCCTCAGGGCTGGAAAACAGGGTTAGATTGTATTAAGAGGCAGTCGAGTCGATGAAGCTAAAGCTGATTCGTGCTATTGTGACAAAAAAAATTAGGTCGAAGAGCATCATGTGGTAAGAACAGCAAATATGCAGCAGGTAAACTGCAGCTTGAAGCAGGGTGGTATCACGGGTCTTGCGGGATTGTCAAACAAACCCCGAAAGTTATCAGAATACTCGAAGATAGTTAATCAAGGAAATGCATGTGCTGTGTTAGAAAGATGCACCCCTACAAAAGGGGAAGGGGGTCAACCAAGCTCTGATAAAAATGAGGGCAACCGCATTTAGAGATGCAACCACTAACTCACTTCCTCCTGAATCTCCTTGAAGATCTGCTCCGAAATTTGGGTGCATACCTTGTCAACTGTTCCCCACTGCCACAGTGCGTAAGGCTAGGGAACTTCTCAGCTGGTAGGAAAGAAAGCATTAAGCGACGTTGAGAAGCGTACACATGCCTGTAGTGAAAATGGGTAGAATACAAACCTTAACACTGAAATGGATAAAGGTAGCCCAAACTGGAAAGAACATGCCAAGCATTCGCGGAACTGAGATACAGCCCTCAATTGTAGACCTGGGTCGACTGGCACCTCAGCCACCCGAATTAGGCCTATTCATCGACGTATTCTGTACGATTTCACTAAAACAAAGCCCGTTCTAATGGGGATACAGGAGCTAAAAATGCTAACTTCATGAAGCAAGCAAAATTACAAGTTTGTCTGGCTCAAAGGACGGCTATATCTAGGTCTTGAGGGAGAGGTTGTTGGCTGACTTCATTGGAGGCGGTTATTGAGTTTCTTGAGGTACGAGTGTGCACCGACTGGATAGTAAGGTTACTTGCCACACCGCCTAAGGCATGGGCGGGCGTCGTGCGGATGCGAAAAGCGACAATGATCGGAAAAAGGTGACGCCGCTCTTCCTTACTCCCTCAAACAAGTTTGTCACCAGTGAGCGTCAACGTTCAGATAATTGATTTATCCCAAGTGATTAGGACCAGAAGTGGCTTGAGAGCGCAGCGGTAACTTGCGCATCAATCGGACTAGAGTGAGATAGACTTCCACAGCACTTGCCTCTCTCTGTCTCTCCGTACATCCACCTTACTCTCTTTCCTCCGTCATTCACTGAAATATTCAAGTCAGGCTGACTGGAGATGAGTGCGCGAAAAATGGCTAAAGTGACATAATGCCGCCATCCAAAGTGTAGCATATGCCCGTGAGTAGTTTTACCGGGTCAGACTTAGAATACCTCAACTACCGATAAGTCAGAAGAGATAAATGAACTCGTCGGTCTAGTAAGCCCATCCAGGAACGGTTTCGCAAAGAAGATCCTTACGTAGTCAATGGAGAATGTGTTTTGCTTTAGAGTGCAAATGTGTGCTCCACCCTGCTCGATCTATTCGATGAGTTCACTACCAACCCTAGTCGCCATGTTCTTCCGTCGGGCAAAGGCTGGTAAGCCAGAGTTGTATTCGTCAAAGGATTCCATGCTAAGTATATTGCCCGGGTGAACAATCGACATTCGAAAATCTTCAGCAAACCGCTACGTTAGAAACGGCTCAGGAAAAAATGCCTTCGTTTAATCTAGATTCTTCAGATGAGCACCTTCACGAAATGGGCAACAAGCATGCTACTTGGGATAGGTAGTCTTCCGACGACTGTTATAGCCAAAGAAAACCGCAAAGAAGGTAGCGTCGAGTAGTTGGTTTGCAACATACAAGTCTGAGAACAAAAATACGAATGACTAAATCAAAAAGGATAAACGGCCTTCAAGGACAAGGAGGAGGCTGTAGTCTGAAAGTGGCACAACGGCAATAAAAGAGCACATCCAAGAGCTCTAAAAAAAGGACGACGAGGTACAGTTTCTATGTAGTTGCGGGACATAGAACAACGACAAAGCAACGTACCAGATGATTCGACGTTCCAGTTGGTAGCAGTAGAGGTCGATCCTTCGACGATAGGCAAGCCGCCTCCGTTCTGCCTCGGCATTTGATTATTCCGGATAGGTGACGAATACGCCTTCAAAAGAACGCATAGAATATGTATAAATTGAGAGTGTGAGGTCAATTCGGGATGAAATTAAACAAAGCGCTGAAAGTGTTAATTTAGTGATGAACAGGCTTTATCGGGGAGATAGATAGGAAAACAGGTGAACGGCTATGGCGCATTGTCATCTGAATCCACGAAAATCTTTTTAAAATTATCCAGAATTTGTGCGAACCGTTTAATGAGAGTCTTAGTAAATTATGAAAAGTGGCCCCAGTTCTCCCTCCAATGACCCGTATAGGCAAGAACAAAAACGAAAAAGCTTCTATTCAGCTGTCTCTGCTGGTACACTGATGCAGATAACAATCAATGTTGAGGCGCCTTTAGGTGAAACCACTTGACTTTAACTGGAGCAAACCTTCTGAAATACCCTTCAGGAGATGCTAAGCAACAGTAGGTGTCGCTGTAGGAATTGCATCTATGATAGGACGATCCAAATGGCTGGTGATGCAAAGGCTGCCTGCCTTTGTGACGATTCGGACTTTAACGGCATGCGTTGCGACAATACGCACACCACACGACGCGACCGTAACCAACTTTGGGGTCAAGCTGCTCGATATTTGGAATGCACCGGACTTGACAGTGGCACCCGGGGTCAGAGTACAAGATTTGCGTGGTGAGGCGATCTTATAATCTGTTGGCCTGAATGATCAGACAGCCAAGGCGAGACGATAGCGTCACTGACTGAGACGATACTTGTGAACAGAGCACGTTGCCTACCGTCTGAACCAGACAGATTCGATACCCCAGCTGACGCCCAGTAAGGATAGTTTATTGACTTTTACGCGGTAAAGTGGTTTGTGGGCAACCTTGAATAAGCCAAATGGTCGATTGATTGGGCACGCATTCAGTTTTATGTATCACTTATCCGCCGATCGAGTTGCGCGTGTGGGCTTGAGTGTTGTCATCACCCGCTAGTGGGAGTGCTTGTGATGCCACGGTACGTAATGCGGGGACGCGGGCGTCGCCTTCGCCATTCGGAATGACATCGTGGGACGACTGCCCTGTTTGCCGCAGGGCATCAACGATCGCCTGATGAGCCTCCGCCCGCCTCTCCGGGGAGGCAAATTCGCCACCATTATCAGCGCCTACGCTCCGACGATGACCAACCCCGACGCCGTCAGAGACAAATTATACGAGGACATGTACGCCCTCTTGGCGACTGTGTCGAAGGCGGACAAGTTGATTGTCCTTGGCGACTTTAACGCCCGCGTCGGCACAGACCATACTGCCTGGAGAGGAGTGCTGGGTCCCCACGGTCTCCGCGGCTCAAACGACAATGGTCTGCTGCTTCTCCGCACCTGCGCAGAACACCGCCTCATGCTGACGAACACGTTCTTCTGTCTGCCGGAGCGAGAGAAGGCCACCTGGAGGCATCCTCGGTCGCGTCAGTGGCACCTGCTGGACTATGTCCTCGTCCGAAGGCGAGATCAGCGGGACGTGCTGGTGACGAAGGCGATCGCGGGTGCTGACGGGTGGACCGACCATCGCCTCGTCATCTCGAAGATGCGTATTCGCCTACAGCCTCGCAGGAGACCACAAGGTAAGCGACCCCCAGGTAAGCTGAATGTTGCTTTGTTGTCTTTGCCTGCTCACCGTCTCCATTTCAGCAATGAGCTAGCTCAACGGCTAGACAATTATCCTATCGCTGCCGCCGCCGACGACGCCGCCGCCGCCGCTGCCGAGAACGCCTCCGTGGAGAACCGCTGGTGTCAACTGCGAGACACGGTCCAGTCGACAGCGCTCGCCGTCCTCGGTCGCGCTCCCCGCCAACACCAGGACTGGTTCGACGACAACGACGCCGCC